ATATCTGTATCTATCCGTAGATAAAGATCTGATTGGTAAGACCAGAGTTTGCTGGTGGAGTCCAGTAGGGCAAGAGGAAGGTGCAGAATTGGACAGTGCTAGAAGGATGCAATTGTAGTAATGGATGACGGGTCTAGTCCTAGAGGACAGGAACTGAAACCAGCAGAGAACTGATAGGCTGAGAGAAAGGAAAGAGAAAGGCCCAAAGAGAGTACTAGAGGACTGGCCAGTTGGCAGCAGTGTGATATTGGAGGCAAAGACTTCAAAGCTGAAGCAATTCAGGAGCTAGTTGCGGTAGCACAGACCTGTAGTCCCAGCAATTCAGGAGGCTGAAGCAGGAGGATCCCAAGTTCCAAACCAGCCTCAGCGTTTTAGCAAGACCCTGTCTCCCCCACACACACTGGGAATTGAAGTCAGGGGCACTCAACCACTGAGCCACATCCTAGCCCTATTTTGTATTTTATTTAGAGACAGGGTCTCACTGACTTGCTTAGTGCCTCACTAAATTGCTGAGGCTCACTTTGAACTCATGATCCTCCAGTCTCAGTCGCCCGAGCTGCTGGGATTACAGGTATGTGCCACCACACCTGACTGCAAGACCCTGTCTTTAAATACAGATAGATAGATAAATGGGGCTGGGGATGTAGCTCAGTGGTAAAGCGCCCATGGGTTCAATCTCTGGTACCAAAAAATATAAAGAGGCTGGGCACTGTGGCACATGCCTGTAATCCCAGCAGCTCAGGAGGCTGAGACAGTAGCATTGGGAGTTCAAAGCCAGCCTCAGCAATTTAGCAAGGTACTAAGCAACTTGTGAGATCCTGTCTCTAAATAAAATAAAAAATAGGGCTGGGGAGCTCAGTGATTGAGTGCCCCTGGTTTCAATCCCTGGTACAAAAAAAAAATACACACACATACACATATGTGTATACACACACACACACACACACACACAGGAAGCAATTCCAGAAGATGAAACATAAAGAGATGGCTGCTGAAATGGAATAGAAAAGTGAGATGGGGATGCCAGGAATAGGGTCTAGTGCCTGGAGGCCCTCTTTTTTAACATGGTGGAGGGAGGCAGAAGGATGGTGAACGGAGCTTACTTCATTGAGACCAAGGAACTTCCGGGGAATGTGGGGGAGTGTCCCCGAAGCTGACAGATGACTGCAACTAAGAAGGTTGCCTTGTGCCAGGGACAGTTGCTAATGCCTGTAATCCCTGTGGCTTGGGAGGCTGAGTCAGGAAGATCACCAGTTCAAAGCCAGCCTAAGCAAAAAGTGAGGCCCTAAGCAACTCAGTGAGACCCTGTCTAGTATGCTGTTTTTAAGTCCTTTGGGTATAGACGAAGGAGTGGGATAGCTGGGTCAAATGGTGGTTCCACTCCCAATTTTCCAAGAAATCTCCATACTGAAAAGCTAATGAATTTCTAAGCTAAGCAGATTTTTTCCCTGCCACAGATGAAAGAGTAGTGTTATGGAAGAAACAGGAGGAGCTTGGGATACTGAGTTCTTTTGGGAAAATAAGCAGAGACATCACTTAGCAGGGTATCCTTGCAGAAGACCCCAGGTCTCCCCCCAGTCCTGCCCCAGTGAGGGAGAATAAAATAAAAGATTACCTTGTAAAAAGGCTGGAAGCACAGAGAAGCTTGTTAATGAAACAAGTCTTCTTACAGAGGGCAGAGTGGAAGGGATGCTTTTAAAGGGATTGATGTGGATAATAATACTTTACACCTGGGGTGTTTGTAAGGTTCCTTTGCACATTTCAGAACTTCACTTTCCGTTTACCCTTTTTGGAATGAGGAGCCCGAGGTTCTGGTATTACACTCACCTGTAATACCAGAGACTCTTGAGGCCCGGGCTGGGGATGTAGCTCGATGATAGAGTGCCCCTGGGTTCAATTCCCAGTGATGGAAATGTCTTGACCAAAGACAATTAGTTAATATGAGTGGCAAAGCCAGGGGCATCAATGTCAAATGTCTGTCCCCACAGCCAGACTCTTCATTACAGGATACAGGACCTGATCCAGTTATTTTATTATTCTATGAGGCTAGTGGATGAAAAATATTTTGCAAATACAAAGGAAGGGCGCTATTATAGTAAATATTGCATCTGGAGTTTGGAAATTTAACTATGACCTGGGCACAGGGCACAGTTCATGAGCATCTGCTCATGAAAAACATAGAAAAAAATTTTTTTGATAAGAGTGCAGATTGAGGGGCTGGGGATGTGGCTCAGTGGTAAAACCCTTGGTTAGGGTGAGAAAAAAGAAAGAGCAGATTGATCAGGTATAATGGCACTCACCTGTAATACCAGAGACTCTTGAGGCCCGGGCTGGGGATGTAGCTCAATGATAGAGTGCCCCTGGGTTCAATTCCCAGTGATGGAAAAAAATGGGGTGGGGGTGCAGATTGACTGAATTGTACATGATAAAGGTATGTCCTCATTCAGTAGGTGTCTATTCATGGACTACTACCCACATGACATTGATTTTTTTATAAAAAAAAAAGAAGCTGGCGTGGTGGGTGCACCTGTATTCCCAGCATCTTGGGAGACTGAGGCAAGAGGATCATGAATTCAGAGCCTGCCTCAGCAATTTATCCAGGCACTAAGCGACTCAGTGAGACCTTCTCAGCAAGAAATACAAAAAGGCTAGGGTGTGGCTCAGTGGTTAAGTGCCCCTGGGTTCAATCCCCTGTACCCCCCTAAAAAAGCCATACACACACACACACATACATATACACATACACACATTTACTATTGAATTATACACTTTAAACATGTCAGTAAAGCTGAGGGGGGGCAGGAAACAGGTCAGACTTGTTAAGATAAAGTCCTGAACCTGAATAAAATGTCAATATAGCTCAGTTTGGAAAAGTGAACAGTGATGAAATCAGAATTGTAATCAGTCCCCTCACTTATACCATAGGTCACTGGAATTGTCCTACTGATCTCAAAATGGTGGGGGAGAAGGAATCATTGGCAACCATCCAGAATAGATTGCTGGAGGTGTGTGTGTGTGTGTGAGTGTGTGCGTGTATGTATATGTATTTATATATATGTATATATGTAATAGACATAATCATCCAGCATCAATAATTACCAACACATGGCCAGACTTGTCTAATCTATTACCTGTCCGTTTGCCCCCATCTTGTATTAATTTGAAGCAAATTCCATACATGGTATCATTTCTTTGGTCAATTCCTCAGTACAGTACAGTTTATATTTAAAATATAAAATTTTAAGAACATACATATATAATACCATCACCACTTTTTTTTGGGGGGGTACTGGGGATTGAACTTAGGGGCATTTAACACATCTTGGTCCTTTTATTTTTTATTTTGAGACAGAGTCTAAGTTGGGCCTCTCCAAGTTGTAGAGGGGCTGGCCTTGAATTTGTCATCCTCCCCCAGCCTCTGGAGTAGATGGGATTACAGGTGTGCTCCACTAAAACTTTTCAAATTTTCACAATTCCTTAATTTCACAATTATTCAGTGTCCAAATTTCCAATTATAAGCATCATAATTTTTTTCAAAGTTTCTGCTGAATTAGGATCCTAATAAAATGCACAAGTAGCCTCTTTTCTCCCTGTATTCTAGGGACAAACGAGGCAAGGCACCAAAGATAGCAGGAACAGTTTTATTTGGCTGCAGCCAGGTTCAGAGGGCATAGCTTTTGCTGTAATCAATTAATCCCCTGAACCCCGAGTTCTGGTAGTTTTATACCCAGCATGTAAAGGGAGGGCCTCAAGTTCACAGTTTGCAGAAGTTCGCATAAAAGCAGCTTTCTCTTTCACTGTTTTGAGCAAGTTAATCCTTCAAGGACAACACCTGGGAAGGGGAGAGCTGCTTCTTCCTTTCTTTCCTCTCCCTGCCAGCTGTTACCATAGAGCCCAATTGCTAACTTATCTTAAAAATGTAGACATCTCTGTGAAGCCCAGCTCAAGGCCAGAGGCCTTGTTTACACATTTTTGCAAACTATTATACTGGATACATTTGTGAGAAACTAGTAAGGGGGTATCCAGCACCTGGAGTGCTGGTATCTTCTTGGCCAGTGGCCAAATAAAACAGGGCTACAGGAAAATAGGAAGTTTATCTACATTGAACTCTTTTGCAGAGACTCTTGCTGGCAGTCCTAAAATCAGCCATGGTGCAGATTTCTGGAGAAGCCCAGTTAAGACTTCTGTGGAGAAAAGGGGTGCCACTTCACCTGTAAATTGGATTTAGAAGACTTGGGTTAGCATAGTAATGCCCCGATTCATTCTACTATCTTTTATTCCCATTCGCCATGCGACCAATGCATGTTACATCATGTACCATCAAAAGAATGAGAAGTTATACTCCATATATGTATAATATGTGAAAATACATTCTACTACCACGTATAACTGCTTAGAAAAAATAAAATAAAAAATCTTTGCAAAGCTAAAAAAGAAAAAAAAAGTGAACAAAATAAAGATAAATTAAAAAGAAAAGAAAAGCTAAAAAAGAAGCAGCATCAGCAGCCGTGGCCTTGGGTTAGTTTTGACTTGGACTCAGTGGAGGTTAATTTCCGCGGGGGGAGGAGGGCAGGTCTAGCTGGACCTAAAAAGGTGAGGCTATGTCACCAGCCCAGCTCTTAGAGGCAATCATAAAATGAAACTAGGTATGAATGTGACAAAAAAAAGCTGTCCAAACAATCAGGTAAATCACCTACAAATCTGGGAAGGAGGGAAAGGGGCGGAGTGGGGCTGAGCTACTGGGGAAAGCCCTTTGTCCTTTTTCCACGCTTGCAACCAATCTGTCACAATTGCTGCGGAGGGGGCGGGGTGGAACCTTTGGACGGAAATGAGGCATGCGCGTCCACCGGTAGCGTCGTCACAGAAGGTGGTAGATGGTAGGTGGGCGGCACCAACGTCTCTGCGACTTCCGGCCATTTCCCACGGAGTCTCGCAGAGTCGAGTAGCTACTAGGCAGTTCCCACAGGGGTCTAGGGGGATCCGGACCGCGGCGGCGGCGGCCGGGCGGGCGGGATGTTCCGAGGGCTGAGTAGTTGGTTTGGCTTGCAACAGCCGGCGGCGGTGGACGAGCCATCCCAAGGAGACGGGCAGTCAGCGGGAGACAGTCCACCTGAGCAGCCCTCGGAGACGGTGGCGGAGTCCACCAAGGAAGAGCAGCAGTCTACGGAGGACCAAGAGTTCCTCCACCAGGCCAGAGGCCTCAGCAGTGAGTCTCTCGCGATCCGGGATTGAAAGGGGGTGGGGGGTGTCCCTGGTTTGCGAGCCAGGCTGGCTGGCAGGAGCGGGGGGCCTGGGAGGAAGGTGGATTTGCGGATCAGTCCTCTAGAGATGAGAGATTGGTGAGAATCTGAGCAGAGCCAAAGTTTCGTCTAGGAGTCAAATCCTGTCCCTGAAGTTCCTGGTGACATGCCATCCTGAAAAAAAATTTTTTTTAATCACACTTTTCTTTTACTTAGTTTTTTGTTGTTGTTTGTTTGTTTGTTTGTTTTTTGTTGTAGTAGTTTTTTTTTGAGGGGGGAGTGTGCTTGGCATCGAACATGGATCTGTCCTTGTGCAAGCTAGGCAAGCACTCTACCACTGAGCTGCAATTCCAGCTCTCTGCAAAGTTTTTTTTTTTAAATTTTATTCATTTTAGTTGTTGACAAACCTTTACTTTTTATTTATATATGGTGCTGAGAATGGAATCCATTGCCTCACACATTCAAGGCAAGTGCTCTACCAGTGAGCCACAACCCCAGCCCCTCTGCAAAGTTTTTTAATCATTGGCAGCAGGGCCGCAGTGGGTCTTGTCCCATTTGTCTTCAGGTTTTACAAATAATCTGCTTTGTTCAACAGGTCACTTTTCACCTTTACCCAATCACCCCACAGTGGACTGGAGTCCTTGGAAAAAAATGCTTTTTTGCCCTTAGGATAGAACGTGTTATCTCAAGTAAATAGATAGTTCCTGAATTCCTCAGTCCTGGTTGGTCATCTTGAGTGCAGTAGGACCTTTTTCTTGATGTGGAAAAAGAGCGGTCAATTGTCAAATTACTTAGATGTTTTATGAACCATGTCTCATTTCATCTGTTAACCCGTTAAGTCCCCAGTTTTCAATTCTTTGAACACAGATGTTCAAATACTATTTTGAAGCTACCATAAGTGATGTTTCTCAATTTAAGTTTTTACAGGTGATCCACATCTGGGATGGTGGGACAAAATGGGTTTAACATCCTCGTGATTTGGGGGAACAAGCCCGAGCTACTGGATTGAAGTTATGCTGATAGTAAATGGTAGAGGTGGTATTTTAATCTGTCTAATTTCAAAGCGGTGCTTTTTTTTTTTTTTTTTTTTTTTTTTTTAGAGGGTGGTATTGGGGATTGAACTTGGGGGCACTTGACCACTGACCCATATCCCCAACCCTATATTGTATTTTATTTAGAGACAGAGTCTGAGTTGCTGATCGCCTCGCTAAAATGCCGAGGCTGGCTTTGAACTCAAAATCCTCCTGTCTCAGACTCTCAAGCTGCTGGGATTACAGGCGTGTGCCACCTCTCTGTTTTGAATTTACAGTTTAGTTATAGGGGGCACAGGCAGTACAATACGCATGAAAAATATAAATGCATGCTGTAGTGATTCTGATTCTGAAGAAACCTTCAAGAAACATAGGCCTAGCTAAAGCAGAGAGGGTCTATTAGGTGGTTGAGATAGATGAAAGTGGGATAAAGTTATGAACTGTGAACTATAGCGTGTAGGTATTTACATGATTAAATAGAACCATTTTCATGTCATAAGGAGAGAATCAAAGTTGGTTTCTTAAAATTTAGGGCTTTACTGTTGATTTGAAACTTTATATTTCAATTTAGTAATAAAGACCTCTGAACAGTTTTTAATAAATGTCTTCTGGGTGGCTGGGGGTGTGGCTTAGGGTGGAGCACATGCCTAGCATTTATGACATCATGGGTTATGAGGTCAATCACCAGCATCACAAGGAGGAAAAAATGTAGTTTTGATAGGGTTGACTACTTTGGAGCTAATGTTGCCATCTTTCTTTCCTCACCAGGTTCTCTTTTGATATTTGAGGAGACTGGGGTTAGACGGAAGTACCTGCCCACTCACACATTGTTTGTAATTTGAAAGTTTCAGAATAAATGAAAGCTCTTGCTTCTAAAATTTATGTGGTTCTAGGACTGTGTAAAGGTTCAAGTATATACACAAACTTTGAGAGAAATAAGATAGATGATCAGATAGTTTGAAAACTGAAATTAAACATCTCTGAGCCTAATGAGTAGATTGGTTTCTTTAATTTTTTGAAATCTACATGGATTCTCCTAGGAACCTCCGTTGTTCTGCACACCTTTGTTGAGTGCCTACCTCAACTGGACCTTAGGTGTTTTCTGTTGATAGTGATCTATTTATGAATTTAGGCCTTTCACCAGTTACCAATGGTAGACATCCAGGTTACATTCCTCTCTCTTACCCAAAACTAAACCTGATCCTTGGATCTTTCCCACCCCCATAAGTTTATGATGTCCTATGGTCACTGTCTTCAAAGAGGGAACAGTATAGGAACTCAAGAATTCCTCCTTTCAGCTGGTGGCACACACCTGTAAACCCAGTGACTTGGGATGCTGAAGCAGGAGAGTCTTGAGTTCAGAGCCAGCCTCAGCAACTTAGCAAGGCCCTAAGCAACTTAGTGAGATCCTTTCTCTAAACAAAATATAAAAAGGGCTGAGGATGTGGCTCAGTGATTAAGTGCCCCTGGGCTCAATCCCTGATACAAAAAAGAAAAAAAAATTCTCCTTTCCCCTTAAAGGCACTATGCCACAAAGTAACTTCTATTCAGTACAGATTGGTTGGTGTTTGTTAGTCAACCAAATCAGAGCATTATCTGGACTCTTAAAAAGCAAAACAACAAAAAATACCCTGTATTTCTGGGAGTTTTAAGAATCTGAGTCATTCACACAGCTTTTTAAAAAAAATTTTTTTAGTTGTTGATGGACCTATATTTTATTTATTTATATGTGGTGCTGAGAATCAAACCCAGTTCCTCACACATGCTAGGCAACCCTCTATCACTGAGCCACAACTCCAGCCCATTCACACAGTTTATACTCTTGGGAAGAGAGCCAATATTTTCAAGTTATGGCTTTTTCAGCATAGTCCTTATAAGACCAGCCTGTGCCCAGGAATGGAGGTCTGGCCACCTCTTCTAATTGCTCTTTTGAGGATTGCCTCTGCGGTGGGACTTTGTGAATGAAGGCATCCTCCCTTTTTTTCCCTATAGAGAAAATCCATCTCAAGTTCCAGATGCCTGACTTAGAAACTAAGAAGACTCCAAAAGTTAGTGTATACATAGGAAAAGTAATGTGTCTGCTTTCATGTAGAAGTAGACTGAGTTCCAGTGTCCACAGTTTTGATGACAGAGTCAGATACACAGTACAAATGGTCATGAGCTTGAATCCCATGGCTTATGCACAATATCCTTTAGAATTGGGGGTTTTGGTTCAAAAAAGAAATATCTTAGGGACATTGCTTTAGAAATGATTTTCATTTTGTGAGATGTCAGACCTAAAATTGACAGGTGAAAGTGTCATATGAGAAGTGAAAATAAATTTCTAATTAGATGTGGGTAAAAGTAATAATTTGCTGCCCTTCAAAGTCCCCAAAACCACCTCAGTTCAATGATGGGTTAGGAGGACTCACAGCTCTGATTTATCATAGTGAAGATGGCAAAGTCAGCAAAAGGAAAAGGTGCTTGGGGCAAAGTCCAGAGGAAGCCAGTGGAGTCATAGGACATGCTTAATTCATCCAGCAGTGAGTTGCGACAATGCATGTGAAATGTTCTCTACCAGGGAAGCTCTTTAGAAAATGAGTGCCCAGGATTTTTATGGATGGCAGGTCACACGGGCACCCTATGTCTACAATGTACTGTAATTCCAGACTCCAGAAGGAAAGCAGGTGTTGACTATGAACCATAATATTCACACACAGTTCAGTGAGCCACTCGCACAGTTTGGGGAGTGGTAGAAACCCTACTGAAATCCAAGTTCCCAAACACTAGCCAATAGCCAATCTTGAAAGCAGGCCTTTTAGGGGGTGAGGTATAACTCAGTGGTAGAGTGAGCACTTACCTAACACATACATGCAAGGTGCTGGATTTGATCCCTAGAAACACACACACACACACACACACACACACACAGGCCTTTCCAAAGATAGGAATCTTGGGCCTGCCCAGTTGAATGAATACTCTTGTTGTCTTTGATTCCTTTATTTATTTAGGCTAATAAATTCCTAGAAGGTGAGAATTATGCTTTTTCAAGGCATCAGTAAAATGCCCAGGTAGTCACTAAAATGTAAGAATTGAGATTATTATGCTAAAAGACCACTTTTTCAATGAAATTTCTCCCTTAGGGGCTGGGGTTGTGGCTCAGCGGTAGAGCACTTGCCTAGCACGTGCAAGGCCCTGGGTTCAATCCTCAGCACCACATATAAACAAATAAAATAAAGGTATTTTTAAAATTTCTCCCTTAGATTAAAATGACAGTTTAAATTCAAAGTGGATTTCTGAAGGAAAAAAAATTTTTTTGATACTGCGGATTGGACCCAGGGGTGCTTTACCACTGAGCTACAACCCCAGCTTTTTTATTTTGAGACAGGGTCTGGCTAAATTGCTGAAGCTGACCTTGAATTTGCAATCGTCCTTCTTCAGCCTCCAAAATTGCTGGGATTACAGGAATGCACCACCTCACCCAGCTATGAGAAAACCATAAAAGGAATACTCTTCTTTCAAAACTGTTTCTTTATCTGCAAAGAATAATTTTACATAAATAGCATGACTGTTTGTTTATACATTTTATCATACCACATTGCACATTAAACTATTTATAACCAAAGGAGTGAATAGTTATAACCAAAGAAATGATGCTCTTTCTAAAACTCAGCATTAATTAGGTCCATCCATTCAACAAGTACTTACTGGTCACCCAGTGGGGATATAGTAGTGAATCAGACAGCCTCAATCCCTGCCCTAATGGGGCTTAGGACAGGCCTTTAGCTAAGAAGACATTCACCAAGTTATCAATAGAGTATTTCTTTTTGTACTGAGGGTGGAACCCGGGGTGCTTTACAGTTGAGCTATATCCCTATCTCTTTTTTATGTGTGTATGTGTTGTACTGGGGATTGAACCCAGGGCCTTGTGCATGTGAGGCAAGCATTTTACCAACTAAGTTATATCCCCAGCCCCCATCTTATTTTTTATGTTGAGAACAGGGTATTGCTAAGTTGCTTAGGTTCTCACTAAGTTTCTAGTGCTGGCCTCAAACTTGTGATCCTCCTGTCTCAGCTTCCCAAGATGTTGGGATTACAGGCATGCACCACTGCACTTGGCTCTTATAAAATCTCTATTTAAGGGAGAAACATAATATCCATGGGTTCCACATCTGTTGGTTAAACCATCCATGGACTGAAATATTTGAAATTGTGTCTATACTAAACATGTATAGACTTTTCTTGTCATTATTCCCTAAACAATATAGTATAACAACTGTTTATACAGCATTTATATTGTATTGGGTATTATAAGTAATCTAGAGATATAACAGAATTATATGGGAGAATGTGCATAAGTTATCATGTGAATGCCATGTGGTGCGCAACTATAATTCCAGCAGCAGCTGGGAATATAGCTCAGTTGGTAGAGTGCTTGCCTAGCGTGCACAAGGCCCTGGGTTCAACCCCCAGTATCACCAAGAAAGAAAAAAAAATATGTATGATGTGTAATCCTAGCAGCTCAGGACCTGAGGCAGGAGGATTGTAAATTCAAGGCCAACCTCAGCAACTTGGCAAGGCCCTAAGCAATTCAGTGAGACCCTGTCTCTAAATGTAAGAAGGGCTGGGAATGTAGCTCAGTGATTAGCACCCCTGGATTCAACCCTCTTTACCCAATGAGGGACTTTAGCATCCACAGATTTTGATATCCAAGCAGGTCCTGGAACAAACCCTCTCCCAGATACCGAGGGACACCTGTAGTCATTATACTGGAATGAAACATTGATTCTTTTTATCCTTTATAGACTATCTATATAATTTCGCAAGTGCTGCCACAAAAAAGATAACTGAATCAGTTGCTGAAACGGCACAGACAATAAAGAGATCTGTAGAAGAAGGAAAAATAGATGACATCATTGAAAAGGTACACTTAAATATCTTTTGGAAGTAGAAGTATATGAAATTTATTAACAGCTAATACAATCAGTCCCCTCTTAGGAACTTTTTTTAAATGCAAGTAGGGTATCATATTCTAATAAAAATCTAGATTGTTGAGACTCTTGGGTTTTTTTTTTCCTTCTCCCTGTACAGTAAGTGACTGAGATATTAATTACTTTGGTTATAAATAGCTCTGGTTTTTATTTTAATATAGTTGAAATGCCTTTATACTGTTGAATTATATAAGTAAACTTTTCATGTTGTGAATTTAGTAATAAACTATGGCTATCTCAGGGTCTATTTATATCTTTGTGTAATTTGGTTAAGTTTTTTAAAGTCCAAGCCCATTAGGAACAACTCTGTTAAGACTCTTAAGGAGAAAGTTTGTTCATTTTTTTTCCAGTGTTAATGTGCAAGCCTAGGGAATTTCATTTATGTTGATAATGATTTGAACTAAAGAGGTCATTAGTTCAGACTTAGATATGTTGTTAGATGTTTTTGTTGTGTATACTCTATTAGAATGAGATTCAACATGTCCTTTATTGTTTTTGGTTTTGGTCCCAGGAATTGAACTCGGGGGCACTCGACCACTGAGCCCCATCCCCAGCCCTGTTTTGTATTTTATTTAGAGACAGGGTCTCACTGAGTTGCTTAGTGCCTCGCTTTTTGCTGAGGCTGGCTTTGAACTCGTGATCCTCCTGCCTCAGCCTCCCAAGCTGCTGGGATTACAGGTGTGCACCACTGTGCCCAGCTTCCTTTATTGTTTAAAATTGGGTTTCATTTTTTATAACTTTATTGTTTGTTTATGTGTGGTGCTGAGGATCGAACCCAGTGCCTCATATGTGCTAGCAAGAGCTCCATCACTGAGCCACCCAGCATGGGTTTCATTTTTGAATTTGAAAAGGATCATGTGTCATAAAGGAAGTTTTATACTCAAAATTGAAAAACACTGAAGGATCCATTCTTGTTGAGGAAATGGAGAAGTATTGCATTTTTAGCCTTTTTATTCAAAGGAAATGGATAAAATATCCCCATTAGACTTCAAAATCTTTTTTTTTAATTTTTTTTTCTTTTAAAGAGAGAG